TCCCTACAGCTTGCGGGGCAGAGAGTCAGCTGGCCTTGAAGAGCAGGTGTCTCTGCAGTGTAAGATAAAGATGCTTTTTGAGATCATTCACTACCTTCTTTCCCTTCCTATACCCCCTGGATAACATTCCTGAGAGCCACACGCTAGTGTCCCTAGAAAGGTTCAGCTATGGATGAACTCAACGGTATCTGAGCTGAGGGCAAATGGCTTTCAGCACGTCAGCAAGAAAAAGCATCCCATGGCATGCAACAGAAGTCTATCCCTTCCTAGCCAGAGTCACACCAACCCTGCTGCCAGGAGCAGGCTCTGCTTTCAGTCTCTATGGACCTGCAGGATTCAGTACTTGCTACCAAAAAAACGCATTTTGTCACTTCCCAGCTCCAGGAAGATCTTTCCACGGAAATGGCCAGTTATGAAGGGATTAAGCTGCATGTACTACCAGGAAACTCCTCTCTGACTACGGATATTTGGCTGAGTACAGCATTCAGAGATCCACAGCCTCTTAGTATCAAAACTCTGACACCCTTTTGTCTTCCACAAACCCATTTTCCCCTGCTCCGCCGCTCAAGAAAGAACGTGACGCTGTCGTGTCTTTGGGGGCACAGGTAGGTACCAAGAAGCAGAACATTAAATTTGCTGATTCCTGAATCGCCGCTACCCCGTGGTGAAAACACGAGAGCACTGCAACGATCCGCGAGCACGTCGCTTCCGGCGCTCACTTGCTAAAAACAGCCAGAAGGGAGCTTTTGAAGTGAAAAAAGCCAATTCTGCAACAGAACAGGGGCCTAAGAGTAGAAGTACACAAGACAAAACCATCATGGTAGTGAAGGCAATGAGCATGACTGCACACACGAGAGCGGAGTGGCTACTTCGTGGGTCCAGAACTCAGTCCTAAGTGGAAAAGGACTGAAATCAGATTCCCACGTGCAGATGAGGACAGACAAAGAAATCTGACTCATTAAAGTTACACAGGAAGTAACGTATGGATATAAAAGGAGCTGGAATCTAGACTGCAACTCCAGCACAGAGGCTCTCTGCTCACAGGAGCCCGTTGTAACGTATTCCAGAGCAGAAGAGGGAGATTACACACCCCTGGGGGGTGCACCCAGCTGCCATCCACTTACCGAACAGCTCAATGTACACTTCCTGCAGGGTATGGGCACTGCAGAACTGATTCAGCTCATGATGAATTTTATTGAAGATCAAGGTCTTATCGTAGTCCGCGGTGTAGTTTCTCACAATATCGTACACTGAGGAAGTTAAGGGAATGACCACAGGTTACCACCGACATGTGCTGCTGTCTGCAATGCCACAACCACAAAACAACAGCTCAGGGGATTTGGGAAGTAGCGCAGCAGTGGGACAGGCGGGTGGGGGAACCTCCATCCTCGGCAGTTTTCAGGACTTGGCTGGCCAAAGCCACAGCTGCCCTGCTCAGCTGTTAGTGAGAAGCCTGCTGTGAGTGGGAGGGAGGTTGGAGGAGAAACCTGCAGAGGTCCCCTCCACCAGTGCTGCTGGGATTACGTGACTTCAAAGAGCAATTACAGCAAGATATACTGCACAGTCCTGTTTTATGAGCTGCATAAACAACTGAAACAGTAAAGCCTGTCCAGGACCTGCATGCAGAGGAACAGATACTACTATAAAGCAAAAACAAGTGTCATTCCCACAACCACAACGTGAATTCACACTTCAATGGCTCAGTAAAGCTGGTGTTTTGCATTAAGCTATGCTGCTGGAAAAAAAAAAGCTGTCTGGGTCTTTGGTTTGGCAGCTTGAGAAATAAGAAGGCTCCTACACAGGCTTTGCCTTTTTAATTTTCCCAGGAGGTTGGCTGGCAAGCACCTGGGGGCTTTGTCCCCTCTATTTCGTTTCATGCGTAGTGCCCCCTTCAGCATGAAGAAACAGGACTGCTTGAGCACCCATCACATTTCTAAGTGTACAGGGGAAACACGATCCCTGGGGCTTTGTCCCCTCTATTTCGTTTCATGCGTGGTGCCCCCTTCAGCACGAAGAAATGGGACTGCTTGAGCACCCATCACATTTCTAGAGTGTACAGGGGAAACACGATCCCTGATCCTCGTGAGACCTCACTTGGAGTATTGCGTCCAGTTCTGGAGTCCCCAACATAAGAAGGACATGGACCAGTTGCAGAGGGTCCAGAGGAGGCCACGAAGATGATAAGAGGGCTGGAGCACCTTTCCTATGAGGACAGGCTGAAAGAGTTGGGGCTGTTCAGCCTGGAGAAGAGGAGGCTCCGGAGTGACCTTATAGCGGTCTTCCAGTACCTCAAGGGGGCCTACAAGAAAGATGGGGAGAGGCTGTTCAGGAGGGCCAGTTGTGATAGGACAAGGGGTAATGGTTTTAAAATAGAGGGAGGTAGATTCAGATTGGATATTAGGAAAAAATTTTTTACCATGAGAGTTGTAGAACACTGGAACAGGTTGCCCAGAGAGGTGGTGGATGCTCCATCCCTGGAGACGTT